CACCCACACCCACACTCACACCCACACCCACACCCACACCCACACCCACACCCACACCCACACCCACACCCACACCCACACCAACACCCCACACCCACACCCACACCCACACCCACACCCACACCCGCATCTCTTATCTAATACATATAATATTAAAAAAATCACGTAGTTTTTTTAAATACAAAAGGATACTTTATTTGCATCCTTCAAGCACAGCAGTGAAAAAAAGTGCTCAAGATATGAGCAAAGCTCGTACTGTAAGATTACCCATTTTATTTTTCTACTTACATGTTTATCAATGTTTCTCGAACGTATAGCTTGGTTCTTCGCGGTATCCGTCATGATCAGCCGTCGTTGCAACTTCAAAGTTCGTCTTTTGTATTTAATTCACGATGAATATTTTTCAGTAAATATTTTATCGTAAGAATAAGATGCATTTGTCAAAACAATTGTGCACAGTGTTTGTAGGATAGTTGTTTTATTTTTTCTATAATGTAAACTATAAATAGTCATTGAATCATCGAAAGGTGTAAAAAGGTGCGAGTAACTAACTAGTAAAATTTAAAATTCCAGTGTTTCCTCGGAGAACAGTCACACTTTCTGGTAATAACGATATGAATGAAAATGATGATCCTCTTTGACAACCATTCTTGCCTAAAATATGTATAATAGTTTCTTTTAGTGTTGCCATAATGCCGCGGTCGTCACACACAACAACTTGCTTGATGGTGCTAAGTGTTATTGCTCTTGTATTGATCACCATCGTTGTCCCACTTGCCGTAATAACTTATTAACGCAAAATCAGAACTCATCAACTTCTGGTACGATCAATCGAACATACCAATTCACTTTCCTAACTAACACATTCCTTAGTCCTTAATCTATGAATAGTTTAGCTAATAGTTTACGTTTGAAATAGTAAGATTTTATACTGATTCCATGTTATAATTTTTAAGCATTATCAACTATTACCTCGACTGTAATAACAACAGGTAATGATCTTTTTCTTATTTTGAACTCAACCTTTCATTAATTGCCATTTTTTTGTTAGTGAACATCAGTTGCCCGTCAAATTCAATCACTTGGAAAGGTTATGTTTGGTGTGTTCGCAGCGCCTTGAACAGTGGACCAGGTTCGTTTCTTTCCTAATAAAATTGTGGAAAACAGAAGACCCTTACTTTCAACCACCCTCAAATAGTTTTTAGAACTAAAAAACGGACTTGATACACCCATGAAAGTCAGCAATTGCAAATACTCGTGTAGAAAATCTATCAAATCATTCGCTTCTCTTTTATTCTCCGTTTTCACACATAGGACCCAATGATTTTGTGCTGAATAATGTTTGGGTTGATAACAGTGGTTTATTGCATCTTCAAATAACCAATGCATCTGGTGCTTGGACGTGTGCCGAATTGTATACGAATAATCGGTTCACATTTGGTACCTTTCAATGGCAAGTGGAAGGACGATTGGATCTTCTGGATCGTAAGATCGTGCTGGGTTTGTTTACCTATGGACCACCTGTTGCTGGTGTTGATGGAACTAATGAAATCGATATCGAGTTCTCTCGATGGGGCCAAAATGGGTCAGTGGCACCGAATCTTTATTATACTGTCTGGCCAGCAACCATAAATGACTCAACGAATGCTACTTGGATGTTTTACAACCAGACAAGTCTGTATACGACTCATCGGATTATGTGGTCATCGGTATCAGTCGCAATGAAGTCACTCCATGAATTTCAGAACGACGACACAAACCTTTTCCACTCGTGGCAGTCATGGCCTGGTTATGCATCAGCTAAACCTCAAGCTACAGCACCAATTCACATGAACCTTTGGGTTTTTCACTATGGAACTACTGACCGATCACCTAGTAATGGTAATCCAATTGAAATCATCATTCATGACTTTACGTACGTTGATCCAACTGTTAGTTCAACAATAACGGGAGTTGCGTCTGTGATGTTGTTTGAGACTGTCACCATTCTAATCGGTTTATTCTTCGTTATCTTATCGGAATTGCTTGTTTGAAGTATTATTCTATCCCAATTAATACCGAATATAAGCTTGATAGTAACCTTTAAAAGAGTATAATTCGTATAACTTGTACTTGATACTAAAACAAAACTAGCGTGAATTGAATGCCTATTTTATTTCAGTATGCAAGCATAATAACAGAATGATTATGAGATATATGTTTGTTGTTGTTTTTCAATTTATAATATGTTAGACTGAGGTATTGCTTATGAATATGAGCTCGATATCATATTTACTTCTCATATAGTTTTTCTCACTTCTATTTACGTTGAAATATTTGGATGGAAAAAAAATATTCTTCTTTATAACTATTCGAAAAAAAAAACAAATGTGAAAACAAAAAATCAAAACAAATAATCATTTATGTGACAGTTGGTTATTTCTTTTTGCCGTTCTTTGTACAAACAAACATTGCATCAGAGCAAAAATAGAACAATTCTGCAGCAGGGAATCGAACAAGTTCAGTCGCATTTCATGTGTATTACACAATCAATAAAAAATAAAAGGATTACAAAAGGGGTTTATACTACTGCAGACATTCATCTCTAACCTCACCCATGGAATTATTTTTTTCGGTTTATGCATTTCTTTTTTGCTCAACATAATGACAATCATTTTCCAGTAGAAAAAAACTTTCTTAAATAGTTTGTTATTTAAAAATTCACATTGAGCTAAAAATATTTTTCAAAACACTTAATAACCTTTGTTAGAATTCTTAATGCTGTTCAAGTAGATCATGTATAGATACTTCAAAACAGTCAAGCTCCAGTGGCGAATTTAGGGTCGATACTACCTCCAATAAGCTTCAAAATACGTTTTATGATCATGATCGGCCCATATACCCACGGGAGCACCTCTATCTCGACCGAATCAAAAAAATCTTACATCCGCCGCTGTCAAACTCTCCTATGTTTTGTGAGGGGGTGCAGTTGAATTTATGTTTTCTTTTCACAATAAAAAAAGATCAATCTCTGCTAAGTTTTAGCACAAGTGTTGTGACAACACTGATACAGATCTACGCTCTCTCATAATTATCCTTCCTATTATCCCTATCTTCCTTTCTGCCCCTGTCTATGTCCTGGTAGCGCACATAAACGTGTGCTCTGTGTCAATGATGCGATTGATGATGTGAGGAAGCCGAATAAAGCATAATTTTGTCTTCGCTAGTACTTCTTCAATTGAAAGTCATCACATATGGAGACTTCGGTTAACGGATTCTCGTAGTTCTCTGTTCGAAGTCAATTATTTTAAATGTTGATCCAAAAGGGTGTGGGTGTATGTGAGTATGGGTCTTCTCTGCATACTCACACCGCGCACACCCCATCGTACAGCATACAAAACAAGCAAGGAAAAAAAAGAACAAGGTCGTAGAGCGATATATATATCAATAAAAGCATTCAATGAAAAACCACATATGAAACGAATGAATTTGATCATGAAAATGAAGTAAAAAGATGTTTTAAACATTTTTTCGTGGTCAAAAAGATATTTTTTTTTCGTTAAATCGTTAATTTTTTATTTATTGTTACAAGTGACAATCAAAAATGTTTCAATTTTTTTCACTAATGAAAGAAGAAAGGAAAGAATAAAATAGTTGTCTCTTGAGGAAAAATATAGCATTCATTACAAGTCTATCATATAAGCTTGAAACGCTGCACCCTGTTGTTTCTGAGGTCACTCACATACAGAAAAGTCTCATTTAAGTTCAGAGCAATCCCAACAGGCTGATTTAGCAACGTCGCGGCAGTACCGCTGGTGCCCGCAATGCCGGCGATGGTTACTCCAGTTGATGCTCCAGGACGCCAATACTGTATTCGGTGATTATATTGATCAGCGATGTAGATGGCACCTGTCTTCTTCGAAACGCACACAGCACATGGATAACTTAGCTGATTATCACCAAATCCTGGTCCATTTCCACCGGCAACAGTGGTGACGTTCATCGTGACACCAAGATAGTATCGCTGAATCCGATGATTGTATGCGTCAGCAATATATAGATACGAATTGAGTTCATCGAGATAGAGGCCGTAGGGAGCATAGAGCTGCTGATTGCTACTACCCATTATGCCCGTACCTGCGACGAGTATGCCGTAAGTGGCATTCTGTGCCCATTTCATTACTCGATGATTGTTTTGATCACTCACGTAAATGTTCTTCTGCGAGTCGACAGCTAATCCAGCTGTATAGCTGATCGTGCTCGCCGCACTCGAATAAACACCGGTACCTGCCACTATAACACCAGTTGCTGAGTTGTTGCGCCACAACATCACCCGGCTGTTATAATCATCGCTAACGTAAAGATTTGATGATTCATCAACATATATTTCTGTTGGACTATTCAATTGAGCTGCACTGGAACCTGCTACCCCCATTCCAGCGATTATCGACCCATTCAATGACCCTTCTTCGAGCTTGATCACTCTATTATTGCCATATTCACTAACAAAAAGTGAACCATCAAGGCTAAACGCCAGCCCCCACGGAAAATTCATAGCATCATTGGTACTTCCCGCCGTACCATTTGCGTGGCCGCCGACAGTAACACCGATCTGCAGAGACAGTGCTGCAAAACAGAAAAAATGTCAAAATGGTACTGATTGAATTCTATCTTGAAGAAAACGAAAATATTTTCACTGAGATGTGAGATAATAAGCTCATTTAATATTTTGTAAAACATCTATTTTTTTCTGCATTTCACGAGGGTGTGGGTGTGGGTGTGGGTGATAAATACCCAAAGCCACAGCCGCCCACACCCTACGTGTCTTAGCACTTTTTAATTATAAAAGGAAATGTATTGCAGCTTTGTAGAACTCACTATTCTCGTTCGAGCGAGCTGTTGACGTTTCGATCCAATTGTGCATGGATCAGAGAGAAGGTTTTGATTATATATCCCAAATAGTTGCTATGACTTATCATAGTTAATTATAGCTAAAACGCTGTTATGTCTCATAAAAAACAAACCAGGCGCATACGTTTTAACTGATGGAGCTTAGCATTGTCTTGTATAGAAGGAAACTTTTTCATGTTGCATTCTGAGACCCAATTGTAGTTTTTCTTATTAAAACTAGACAGGATGTTTCTCTAATATCTTATCATCATGGTTGTTTTCTAGTTTGGAATATTAACTTTGCCCAGAGAATGAAAAAGCGGAAACGAAAATAGATTGTAAAGAGCCCTCAACATCAGTTTCCTTCAATATGAGACCACTCAGTACTCAATGGCTTGAAATTTGCATCTATGATTTGTTTTATACGGAATACCCTATTGTGAAAACTGTTTGTCCTTTAACTCCTTGAGTTGTGAATATTTTTTTAATAATTTTTAATAGCTTCCCTAGCTATTTATCCAATAATCATAATCTGAAAGTTACAGTTCCACCAAAAGTAAAAGGATGAAATGAATTTCTGTCCCTTCCATCCTCCATAAGCCTTAATTTATTCGAGGTTGAGAATAACGGTGATTTATTTTATTTGATGCTATTGTCAGCTGGTCTTCGCTAAATTTATTGTTGACTAGTTTCCCTGCCGAATCATCATCAATTTTCAATTAATCAGAAAACTTACTTAAATTTAGGTCATTCCGTCTGTTATTAGTATTGTCGTTTCTTAATGCTTTGTTTCGGGTAGTTCGATAGCTGTCAGTAGACATTAGGGGCTGTATTTTGGGTTAACATTTCATTTAGACTTGACTGAGAGAAAGAGAATCGGGTTATGTCTTAAGTGAAAAATAATTTACTTCATTTCGTCAAATGTAATGAAAAATATATTATTAGATGCACAGCTGATATTAAGCAAAGAAGTGAAATCGACACTGTAAACGACAAATATCTTTTTGTTTGCGAATGACAAACTTTTTTCTATCACCAGGAACAGTACATACCAGTTAAACAGTAGATGAGAGCCCTGTTCCTACCAATAAAGCAATCGTTAAAAGCAACAAGCATTCATGAGAAAAAATAACAAGTATCGACAAGCTCTTCACGCAAGAAATGTGGAAGAGACGGCTCGGCAACATTTCGTATAAGTGTAAGCATGATGAATAAAATATGAGAATCTGCCTACATTAAAGTTCCGAAAAATGTCACTTTTTATCTACCTAAAGTTTCATGTATGGGTCACGATCATGTAAAATCATCTAGAAAGACTTTTGCATGCAGATAGGGATTTCCACTGAACTTGAGATAAAGCAAACATTTTTCTCTTTATTACTTCCGTCTTTCTCAGCGTTGCAGATGAGAAGCGCTATTCAAATGCGTCACTATTCCGATTGTATGTCCAGAAATCTTGAACAAAACGTTTTGCGATTAAAATCCAACTTTGAGAAGTTCATTGCCTTCGTTTATCCGATCAACATCGCAGAAATATATACTACACTAAAATTGCATCAAATCTTCAGCATTTGTCACGTATAGTATTGGAATCATCATTTTTCAAGGCACAAATTCCATCAAGTTCTTTTTCCAGGACGACAGCAGTACAGCTTGTAACGATTCGTTAAGATGTACCTTTTATTATGAATTAATTTTTGAAAATAACAAAGCTCAACAGTATTTTAAAATTTCGAGTGGGATTTATTGCCGTCTGAAGCTTTTCAACTCAAGATATTTTATGATTAATCACTAGGAGAAGAATCGATTGGATATACCGACAGTGATATCACAGGTGTCAGAAAGCAATCAAAAACTGCAGACTTGTAAATGTCATGGTGTAGCTAGGCATACACCCAACCCAAATGCTTTGAATTTTAGGTTTTAGATCAGCTCGCAGTTTCGGTATCGAGATTTGGGCTTTGGCCCACCTCTTTAATTATGATATTCATTATTGTAGTAAAGCAATTCAATTCGCTTATCAAGTTTAGCATCATATCATCAGTGAAGAAAAGATGTCATTTAATATGTTTGGAAAAACTTTATAAACCGTGATTAAGAATTTCTCTAGTAAGGAGCCCAAATTGAGGACACATTCGTCGATGTTTTCTACAAATGGCTTACA